AGTGGTATTTTTTCCTGTTATAGAAGCTTGCACAGATGCCTTACCAGAATGGTGAGAGTTGCAGGAACTTTGACCAAAAGGCAGTCAGAAGCAGTGCCCCTGCTAAATATAATTGTGTCTGACCTCATAAACAAGAGAACACTGGCACTAGATGTCACTGCTTTGATTGATTTTTTCAAATAGGTCAAATACAAACAGGGAAGACTGATGTTCTGATTTTCCTAATTAACTCAGATGATTCATGGTGGGTTAATAGCTACGATCTCTACTCATATCAACCAGCTTGCTTATTGAGAAATGACTTGACAATTCAGATGCACAGACAGTCCCCTAAGAAACCTGTTTTTCAAAGCATTGTGCTTCTAATGCTAGGATTTTTATTTAAATAAATGCTAGCCCTGTTCCAACTCCACAAAAGGAAATACACAGATTGGAATGTTTACATCTTGGCTTCCCAAAGGCAAAAATGGAAGTATTAATGCTACTTTGTTAACAATTGCCACTTAATAATTCATGTCACTGACAATTATCAATGGCATGAGTTATCTGAATGTTATTGGGATCTGAGAAGTATATTGTTAGCTTTCATTTGCCTGTATCCTTTCTAATAGACATGAAGGACTAATCAGTGTTTGAAAAAAGAGGCAGAATCTGAATATTGAGCGTAGTCTTTCGTTTTGTTTTGTTTTGTTTTGTTTTTCTTTTTCCTGTTTTATTAGATTAGTGGGAGTTCTTTCTGCCAGTCCCTCAAATATGGTTTTTGGTCAAAGGAACAAATACTAGGCCTTTTTGCTCAAAGGTCTTATGCCAAGATATCAATCTTTTGGGGAGTTAGGAATGCAAAGATTTCTTTTTGTACCTTCACAACCAACACATATGTTGAAAATAAAAAGGGCCAGGCTTTGACATTTTCCAGCTTGTTATCTATTTAATTTTCCATCTGCTTCTTTTGCCACTGCCTTCCAAAGGAACATCTGCTGCCTATCTGAGAAAAGGGAAGGAAGATTGGGTTAATGCCACCTGAGTCTGTAGTCCCAAATCTTGAGTCCAGAATAAAGGAAAGGAGGAAGACTAACAAATGGTCCAGAAAATAAAATGAGGACAAACAGTCTGTTAAGAACAAAGCTTTGTTTTCCTTTATTGCAGATCCCACATTACTGGGCAAGCTGGACAGCTGGGTCTATCGCCAGCAGGGCTAGATGCAGGGGGAGGCAGCTGGTGACTGGCTGGCGGCAAGAGCAGTTTCCAGAGCTTAGGCACTCCCTCCGGTGCCTAACTCTCCATGTGGTACCCTGTTTCTCATACATTCTTTAAGCATTGATGGAACAACTGCTAAGAGCCAAGCTTTGTTCTGGGCATTCTGGAGAAAAAGATGAATAAGACACAATCTAAAAGAGTGGGTCTAACATGGGGCAGCTAGACAAGTCCACCACAGATTACAATATAAGATGAAAAATTCTATATTCTAGGTAGGGAAAAAGTGTTACAGGAATACACAGAAGAGAAAGGAAGTGTGCCTAATCCTGTGAAGAGAAGTGATGATTCTGAGATAGGAATTCAGCAGGACTAGTTTCCTAAGATAAGCAACAAAGTTAATTTCTCAGGACTAGTGGCTGAGACAGTTTCTCTAGACAAGTGAATACTCTGGTTTTCTACAGAAAACCCCACAGAGAAAAATAGGATGCAGTTAAGAACCAGTTAGAGCCAAGATGGCAACAAGTTTGCTGGTGTCCTGACCTTGTCCCTCATTATATGCTCATTATAATACATTAACATGCTAAATGGCACACCCTTCAGCTCCATGAAAGTTCCAATCCTGACCATTTATAATAGCAAATTGGGAGGCCCCTAATTCTTAGAACTCTCCACCTCTTTCCTGGGAAATGCACGAATAATCCACCCCTTGCTTAGCATATAATCAAGAGAAAACTATAATAATAAAACTCCAGGGCAACCCCCTGGGGTCTCCTCCCACTCTGGGAGATTTTCTGTCCTCTCATTAAATCCTACTTTCAAATAATAATAATAATACTCCAGCAATATACAGCTGCTGCTCTTTCTATATATGGACCAGCCCAGGCTGCTCTACCTATGAAGTTATCTGCTCTCTGTTATTTCAATAAAGCTGCTTTAATTTTCCAACTGAAACTCCAGCAATGTGCAAGGGCCACTCTTCCTACAGTGCAGGCATCTTTCTGTTCCTCTTTCCTTTTAATAAAGTTTTACTTTACTTTGGTGGCTCACTCTTGAATTCTTTTCTGTGCCAAGCCAAGGACCCACTTGGTCTCTTGGGCTGGACCCTATCTTTGGGGCTCTCCCATCCTGTGTCAATTCCGGGGATGAGTGGTTGTACAGAGACAGTGCCATGTTGAATCTAGAAGGATAAGTAGGAATATTAAAAAAAGAAGTTCTTTTGTCTTCCTATCACTAAGGAGCAGCACATAACAGCAACCTTCATAATTGACTCAAAAAACATAATCCTTAACCTTAGACCCACCCACCACCCTTTTCAATGTTAAGGCATCAACATTTATTTCAAATATATCAACCAACTGAATTGTGCCACTTTTTAATGTTATCTAGAGAGTCACTAGTAGGATTAGTAAACTCTCATCAAAGAGACAGAGAAGTGTCGGCATAATAATAATTTCCTGATTTGCTATGATGGAGTAGGCAGTTGTCTGATTTTAACTTTCCTAAATTGTCTAACTTTAACATCATCAAGATCCTTATATATAAGACCACAATAGTGAATGCAATAAATTCCTGGGGTTAGGAATTTACTGCAAACAATCAGGAATTGAATGAGTATCTATTCTGGCATGAGGATTACAGAACTATAAGACATGAGCTTTGTGTCTAATAAGCTAAGACCTTGTTGCGATTACCAGAGTTTAAATTGGCTAACTAAAACTTAAAATAAATATCCTTTCCATAGTTTTAGCATGAAAAATACTCAATATTTAAATGAAAAAAAGAATAAGGCCAATAGTATGCTTCATTGCTCAGCAAATGTATACTTTCTTCATTTTTCAAAGCTGTCTACAAATAAAAAACTTTTTATCATTTGCTTTAGATTAGTAATAATGTATACTGAGATGCAAATATAGCTGGCATGATCTCTGACTGAAATTATATTTTGTCTTCATTTTAATAAATTTTATTTTAAAAATATGTGTTGATGAAATGGAAGTAACTATGGGAAATGAATCAAACACACCTTTTTTTCTATCATCACATTTTCTTTCCATCTCAAAGAAAAACCTTTCTCAATTTACAGAATCACACTGTGAGATAATTTTTGGAAGTTTTTATTGTCAATAAATAGCAAGCTATGAGATCAAATTAAGTATTTTCAATATTTTGTAGCTTGATTTAACTTATCAAAAATTCTTATGATTATTAGAAGCATGCAATGTTTTATTCTATGGTTAGTTTCTTAAGTGAAGTTTAAAGACATTACAATTCTTAATTTTTAAATAAATCTATTAGACATGGTAGATAAAATTTCCTGTGTTGTTCGCCTGCAAAGAATAGACTTTAAAAGAAACCTTTTTATTATTTCAAATTAGGGAAGAAATTAGGTTTTCTATGATATTAGATTGTTCTTCTAACAGAAAAACTTTCAAAGTAATTTATATCAGGAGGCCATAGTCCAATGTTTTCTAGTTTAGAGATGATAGAAGCACAGAATATTCTTGAGTTGGAATATATGCCAGAGTTACTGAGTCTGATTTATAAGTGAGAAAGCTGAGAACCAGAAAGATTAAATAATTACATTTTGTTTGTGTTTCCAGTCATGACCTAAGATTCCCCAGCACATCATGACTCATGGTATTATCTCACTACCATTATTCCTATTTAATTTTGTGTTTTCAACCATGAAAAAATCATTTTGTATAGGGACAAGGCCAAATAAATCCTTTCCTTAGTTCAACTTGAGTACACTATATCCACCCAACATTCTAGAAAATCATATTTTCCTGACTGGTCCCATGACTTGAAAGAATAACTCTGACACCACCGTACTCTGCACCAACCTGGTTCACTTTCTTGGTTCTCCCTGAGACTTTGGGAGACAAGAGTATCAGGTGGTACCATCCATAGCTCACCCATCTACCTTAACTAAGCTTGGCAAGTACAGCTATTAAGTTGGCAATTATCTCTGTGGAGACCTAGGCTGTTTGAATGAATGGTGCTTTTGTGGCTGAGGAGTTGTGCTAGAAGACAGTTGCAAATGAGCCTCAGGTAGTTACTGAGGGAAAAACATAAGCAGATTTAGTAAACTGTTAAGATATTCCAAGCCTAACATTTTCCAGAATTTTAAAATAACTACACATAATTTTCTTTGGCTTCAGCATAATACAGATCAGGCATAATAAATACATCAAGAAGGAATTAAGCCAATTGCTGAAACGTGGCTGCATTTTGTTGGAAATAGAGAAAATATCTGATGGCATGGTTATTATTAAAATGAAACACAGAACAAACCCTGGGTTAATTACATTCCCGTCTTTTTTTTTCCTAGATATGTAAGTTCCCTTTTCTTTCTACCTATCTTCCTGCCTTCCTTCCTCTTTCCTTTTCTTTCTGTTCCATTTTATTTCCTTTTCAGTATCTTGCTATGTTGCCCAGGCTGGTCTTGAACTCCTTACCTCAAGCAATCCTTCAGCCTCAGTTTCCCAAAGTGCTGAGATTATAAGCAGAAACCCCCACTCCTGGTCTATGTTTCTTTTGCTACAGATGTCTTTTCCACAATTCTACTGAGTTTTTTCCTTTTTTCTAATCTTGAGGCAGGTGAAATGGGAGGTGAAGAATTATAGTCATTTCTGCAGCTATTTAACTCAAATTCTGGTGGGTGGATGGAGCTCTGCCAATAGCCTCTAGAGGCCAACACATCTTTTCTCCTTTCTTCAATCTAGGGTCAATCTGAAACTGATGGATTTTGGGGGTATTTTTCCCTGCTATACTTCTAATTTCATTTGTTTTGTCACCCTCAGGACTACCAAGAAGCCTCCAATTTGGAACAATTTGTTACTCGATTTTTATTGAAGGAAACCTTGAATCAGCTGCAGTCCCTCCAGAATTCCCTGGAATGTGCCATGGAAACTACTGAGGAGCAAACTCGTCAAGAAAGGCAACTTAAATGTTTTCATATGTTGTCTCTGTAGTGACTCCATATTCATGGAAAACTTGTCAAGGGCCATTGTTAAGCTAGCAAAAACTATAAATGAGAATTGACAGATTTTAAAAGAATAGGAAGGACTCCCACTGGGTGCTTGCCTTATTATTTGCATCTAAAGAGACCATCTCACTTTTTCTCTTATGGTCCATCACTTAGTTCATAAATTTCAGCTGGGAATGTAGTAAATAGTTTAGTAAATTAAGAAGACGTTAAAAGACACTAGGAATGATATAAAAATACATCTAATATAATGCCAGTTCTTAAGGAGGACTAAGTTTGTTAAATAAAAATGACATGAACACTAAAACTGTACTGCAGGGTACAAAGTGATAAATACCATAGAGAAGGTGAAATAAATTGCCAATGGGTTTCAGAAGAGTAAATGATTAAATGTAGATGGAGGCATGAAAGTCAATTTCATGGAGTTTCTCTATGACATTTGAGCTTGCCGTAGTACAATTTGAAAATGTGGAAGTGATGGGAAAGAACCTTACTGACTAAGTGAACCTGAATATACTGGACAGACTTCAGAATTCAATAAGCCTAATTATTTGAGGAAATAGAGAAAAGTGAATGATGGGAAAGATTTCAAAATTCAAGCTACCAGTATGGATCACTGAGAAAGTAAGTGGAGATATTGTAATAGCTATATAAATAAAGGCACTAATGCTAGTGAGAAACCTATATTAGAAATGTGTAAAACGACATCGAGGTAATTCCAGCCAACAGTCAGTGCTTTCTTGAATTGTCATTGCTTATACCTTGCAAGATAGAGAAAGGCTTGACAATACTCTCATTCCTGCGACATATTTGGGCTGCTGTGTTATTTTAACTTATAAATATGCCTTTGAGCACCCAGGGATGCTCCAACTTTTGCATCCTAAATTAGAAAGGACCATGCAGTAAGTTTTCTGAACAGACTGATAATAGACTACTCTGCAGGACCAATTTTTCTTAACAAATTAACAGATACATAATTATTAGGATGTCTCCAAAAAGGTGGAATTTTCAACCATGTGTTTACAATGTCAAAATGAGTGAGCACCACCAAATTCTAACAAAAAAACCTATAATTGCAGAATCAAGTGAACCTGCACAGCTGATAAACACAGGGAAGTGCTCTTCAACGGATCTGTGAAGCATTCGCCACATCGTAAACTTCCTATTTTCACTCTGCTGGGTCATTCCATATCAAATAGCAGTGTCATAATTAGCTTTAGAAAAGCAACAACCCAGCTCCAGCTATGACCAGAGGATAACTGCATGTTTTAAAGTACAGTGAATCTGATTTCAAGTTTCAAATGAGAAAATGAGGTCTGTTTTTTTTTTCTTTTGTTTAGACTTTCTGGAAATAAAATTGGATGTACCTTTTTAGAATTAATCATTTGCCACCTGAGAAGAGGCTTGAAAATGCACCCTACTCCCCTTCTTTACTTACCCTTTTGATTTTTTTTTCTATTGTCATCTCCTGAAAACTTGTGCTCTGCATTTACCACCATATAGTGAAAGTTTAATGAACAACTGTTCTTTAAACTGCTCTTGTGTATTAGGCCACAAGCTAGCTTTGAACTCTTGTGATTGCTGCCAACAGCTGCCTAGCAGCTGTGCTTAATGAGAAGTAGCGTGATAATATAGAATTTAAGCAGAGTAGAACACTATAGAGAATTAATTAACCTTTTATTTCTGGGATTTTTAGCTTAAAAACAGCTTGAAATAATGGGAAATCATACAGCTCTGATGTCAATTTGGAGGGTGTTATTGTATTATTGTATGGCACTTGACTAAGCCACCCAGGGATGCTCAAATCCCAAATCTCTGGTCTTCCTTTCTGGGAAGGTTGTTTTTTTTTTTTTTTTTTTAAATACATAAGCAAGCAGAAAACAAGGTACTACCATGAGTTTATGTTCATAATATCCGATGTGAAATCTCTGATGAATCAGATTGAAGCACGTGAATTAGGCCCAAACCTAAAGAGGCTATGTCTCCTCTCCTAAGGTTATGGTCTTCCTATCAGCCAGCCACCAAAAACCAAACCAAAGAGGAAAAGCCCCAGGGCCCTTACCAGTGAAGAAAAGACACAAATAGGAAAGCTGTTCCTTTCCCATGATAATAATCAAGACCAGTGAAAAAGTCTGATGGGAAGGCAAGACTTGAATTGGACCTTTAGGATGGATTTGAATGGCAGAATGATGTTCTCTCTGGATAAATTTTTCTCCCCACCCTCCCAATATTACCCATCTCCATCTGGCTAACTCCTCCTGCTTTGTCTAGTTGGACAGTTCTTTCTCTCAGAAGCCATCCCTGCTCACAAAACAGGATTTTATACCTCCCACTTCACTACTATATACTCTTATAATGCCCTCTATTTATATCTATTTATCTCAATGCCTTCCTTGTTTATCTCCTCCATTAGACTTTGAGTTCCTAGATGGTAGAGACTTTGCATTGTTTCTCTCTGCTTGGTACAAATGCATGTTAAATATATGAAACAGAATGAATGAAAGGAATTCCAGATAAAAGCAACCCTACAAAGGAGCAGTAGGTGGGGATCTGAGACAGTGAGGAGACCAATCTAACTGACATCTGGGATTAAGAAAGATCTTACAACCTACACGGTGCATTCAGACTTAATTCTGCCAGAGATTGTCATTGGTAGTTGTAAACAAGGTTTGAAAACAAGGTTTAAGGAAAATTAGTCTAACAATCGCATGTAGTACAGATTTGACGAAGTAGAGAACAGGTTCATTGAGGAATGTTATAATCAATGCATAAAAAAACATTCGTTTTTAATGTCATAAAGGAAGATTCCATGATGCCCTGAACAGTCAAGAGTTGCAACACATAGATATCATTAAAATCCCCAAGGTTGTAATAATTTTCTTTCCCTTCAGCATCAACATTACTTTGGGATTTAATATTTGTGAAACCTAGAGATACAAAGACTCCTTGGGATATAGAAAATTTAGAGAAGGCATCTGTTCCATCTCTCAGCCCCAGGGCAGAATCACACAGTATCATTCATCCTGCAGTAATGAGTTTGACATGCCATGTCGGGCAAAATGTCTGTGTCTATTCATGTGAAAATGGTTATTTCAGAGAGAAGGGATGTGTGCAGCTGGAATGGCACAGAGGTGAGATTTTCAGATGGCAGTCTACATCTGATGGCATTGTATCTGTCCTGGCAAACTGTGTCAATGGGAGTCACTTTAATTCCATGTCATCTGAAAGTGCCTAATAGCAAATGACAAGAATAATCATTATGTTATACTGAAGTTTCCTTCTAGAAGACCCCTGAACTCTTACGTAAACCTCTGTTCCTTACAAACTAGTTTTCTGGAAACACAGTTTAATCATATGTAGATTCCCTTTTGATAATAGACTCTGCAAATTTTCTCTGTTTTCCAAAGTTCTGCTATATTCAGTGATATAAAGTATTCTTTCTGGATTTGGAAGTTATTTTTCTCCTTTTGATGGGTGTTTACTATAGAAGTGAGGAAAGGTTATAATTTTACCTGCAGGTGATTATAAAAGATCAGACAGCTTACATTCCTTTGGCTTGAACACAGAATGGGACTTCTCTAATCACCTACTCCCATGACCACCAAAACTGCTACAAAGTTCGGGGGTTTTAATGCCATAGGAAAATCTACAGTGAGATTTAGTTAAAGATAGGAGATTAAACATGTACGATTTCTTTTGCTCTCTCTTTAAACCCTTCAAAAATGACATTTTAAAGTGTGTATAATTTCTTTTATTCTCTCCCTAACCCTTCAAAAAATGACATTAAAAGTACCTGGATAAAAAGAGGCATTAGCCCACAAAAATAGGAAGAAGAAGAGCCAAGGGACAGAAACTTTGAACCTGGAAAGAAGGTGAATCTAGTGGAAACTTATTTAGAAGCTCTGAGAAAGCTGAGACTTAGCAGGCAATGTAAGAAGCCAAGATGCAATACAATTGACATCACAGAACCCTAGGAAAGTTCAAGAATTGGATGCATCATGTGCAACTGATTGTGAGGGTGAAGATAGGGCTGATATGTTGTTGAAAGCTCCACCCAGTGCTGTACAGTGACTGCCCCTCCCCAATCCTTGAAGAACTCTAGAGGTGTGCTCTCTGGAGGAGGTGAGCAGATGCACATTTGACATGACTGGTTGTCAGAGCAGAGTACTAACAAATGAGACATTAAGTGAAGGTCTCCATATTGAATAGTGAGATGTGAAACCCCCTTCACACGCTCTGCTCCCAAAGTACTGACAGCCCAACTTACAACTGCCAGTTGGGGGATGATTCTCTGAGGGATCTGATCAGTTCAAGAGAAAAGACTTAATGGTGCCAGGGGTCAGACTCCCCATCAGTTGACCCAGCCAAGCCGCTCTGCAGTGAAGTTTGTGAGTTGGCAATCCCCACCATACACAGAGTGGATCCAATCAGACTTGCAATCCCCCCTTTAAAAATGTGTGGGCTCAACCAAAAGAACATATTAGACACAAGAAAGAAACTTAGAAGAAACTGAAATAATCCAAACAGCAGGAAAAATAACTTTCAGAAGAAAATTATCAACACCTTCAGAAAAAAAACGATTCAAAGCACACAAAAGTGGTCTTGAAAATTATGATAACAAAAATAAAATTATCTGAAGGTTATTTATAAAAGTGTGATGAAATCTCCACAAAGAGATGAAAAATAGGAAAGAAGAAGAAAACAAGAGGGTAAGATCAAGAGGTCTACTGTTTGTAAAATAGCAATTCCAGAAAGGGAACAAAGGAGAAAAATTGTCAAAGAAAAAATTCTCAGAACAAGGACATGAGTTTCCAGCTTGATAGAACAGACCAAGAGCCCATTATAATGAGTAATAAAAGTCTGCACCAAGGCATGCCATTATGAAATTTCACAATACTGGAGACAAAGACAAGTGTCTAAAAATTCCCAGAGAGAAAAACCAGGTCTTTTGCAAAGGATCATGAAAACACTAGATTTTTCACTAATCACTCTGGGAGCTGGAACACAACAGAGCAATTTTTTTCAAAATAATTTGCAACTGAGATTTTTTTTTCATTATTGAGTCAGAGTCTCACTCTGTCACCCAGGCTGGAGTGCAGTGGCACACTCATAGTCACTGTAGCCTTGACCTGCTGGGCTTAGGTGTTCCTTCCACCTCAGCCTTCCAAGTAGTTGGAACTACAGGCATGTGCCACCACACCCAGCTAATTTTCTGATGTATTGTAGAGAAGAGATCTTGCTGAGTTGCCCAGGCTAGTCTTGAACCCCTGGGTTTAGGCAATCCCAATTCCCTCTGCCTCCCAAAGTGCTAGGATTATAGGCACTAGCCACTGCGTCCGGTGATAATTCTTTACTCCATAAAACCACCAATAAAGTAAATGTCTTTACATGCAATGACTTAAGAATTTTACCTTTTATTATGCACCATTTCTTCTGAAGAAACTAAAGGATATTTTCATCAAAATATTTATCTGGGGTGGGGGATGAAATCTAGTAAAAGGGAGGGAGGAAGGTAGGCTAACATAGGAAAAAGGCTAAAAGAATCTTTCCTAGCTGATAGATAATAACGAAAGATTTTTGGATGAGTAAATTAGTATTATATTTGACTGCCCATAACAGAAAAAAATACGACTTAAACACAAAGGTTTCTTTATTATCTCCTATAAAGAAACCTGGTAGGAGCCAGTTTAAGTCAATTATGACACCTTTCAGATTTATCATAGATTTTCTGTTTTTTTCACATCTTAAGTGCATGTCTCCCATTCCCAAGTTTGTTTCATAGTCCAATGTGGTTATTGGAGTTCCAACTATGTCCATATTCCAATCAGGAAAGAATAAGGAAAAACAAAAGCGTTCCCTCCTAAGCTGAATCCATACTTTTAAGCAATCTTCTTGTAAGTTCCTTACATTTTCTTGTATGTATCAGTAGCCTGAGCTTTTCATGTTGGGAAGTTAATAAATAAAGCCTAAAACTAAAAAGTAAAGAGATAGAATTTTAAGCATGTTGTATACTGGTGAAAGTAAACACTCAAATAAATACCTGTTAAAAAATATTGCCTTTTGGAAAGAGGAGTGAGGGTGTTATACAGGGGGAGAGAAGGGAGATCCTGTTTGTTGAAATAGGACTTATAGAATTATTTAACTTAAAAAAATATATGGGTGTATAGCTTTGATAAAAAATTTAATTAAAACTGAATTCAAAAAAATTCATAGATGTTTCCATACAAAGTAAAATAAAACAGCAGCATACACCTAACTGTTTTTTTTTTCTATTGATGGTTGACCAACAAAGGAAGGAAGTATATCTTAAATCACAATTTTTACTTAACTTTTGATTTTAAGAATAAAGAAATATCTGAATTATTTTCCTTAGGTTCACATGCAATAATACCAAATTCCCTTGGGTTTCTAGAGCATGTTTGCAAGTAGTCATCCTCATAAGACTTCATTTCGCTACACTACAAAACCTTTGTGACTGACACATGATCTGTTCCTTGAGGCAAGAGACTGAAGTGATGACATTGAGGTTAAATGTTATCTCTGTTGTTCAAGGCAAGGGCCAGTCAAGCCAGAAGTCCTGTCAATTCAATGGCCTGGAAAACGATCAAGTCGCCGAGTCCAGAGACACAACAGCTTTTCCCCTAACAGCCCTCAGTTTAATGTCAGCGGTCCGGGTAATGTAGCCTTTGTTGTTTTTCTTCATAATGTCCATTTGTTTTGTATCTTCCAATTGGTTGTTTGAACAAACAGCAGCTAAGACAACAAAAGTAATGGAATACCTTCCTTATACCAAGAAAAGTCTGAAACTTTTGAAGCTGTGAAGAGTACAGGGTGCGAAGAACTGAGGTAGTGATTCTAGCCAGCAGTACTGTCAGAATCCTAGCAGTTGTGCAGGAGTTGGCGTGACTGTGAAGAAAAGGGAACAATTCTACACTGTTGGTGGGAGTGTAAGCTAGTTCAGTCTTTGTGGAAAACAGTGTGGTGTTTTCTCAAAGAACTAAAAATTGAGCTACCATATGATCCAGCAATCCCACTTCTGGAAACATACCCAGAGGAATATAAATCGCGCTACCAAAAAGACACCTGTATACATATGTTCATTGCAGCATTATCCACAATAACAAAAGCATTAAACCAACCCAAATGCCCATCAAAAGGAGAATAGATAAAGAAAATGTGGTACATATACACAATGAAATATTATACAGCCATCAGCTGCTGGAGACCATCATACTAAGTGAACTATCACAGAAACAAAAACTGAATACTGCATGTTCTCACTCATAAGCGGGCCCTGATCACTGGTCACACGAGCACAAAGGTGGGAACAACAGATGCTGGACACTGTTAAAGGAGAGAGGAAAAAATGAGTAATAAGAGGCATACAACCACACACTGGGTCTCCATATCAAGGGAGAGAGGGCCTACTAGAAGCCCAAACTTTACCTGCACACAATTTACATATGTAGTAAATCCTCACATGTCCCTCATAAGATAAGGTACATAAGATAGATGTGAGTATCTCTATTTCCCTACTTCTCAGGTGAGGAAATTGAAGCCCAGAAAGTTAAATGATTTGTCCAATGTCATGTGAAGTATTGGCTGATTTTTACTGTAAACTAACCTAAAAATCTTGGTGGTAACAATTGTAGATATCAGTTTTTCTCTTTCATAAGTCTATAGTTGGTTGTGATTTTGACAATTTTAGCTAAATGTGACTCCAGGCTGGAGGTAGAGTTCAGTCTTACTTCTCATGTAGCCTCCTTCTGGAATAAGCGGAACATTTTCTTTTCCTGGTGAGTGTCAGAAGCATAAGCAGCCAGGCCAAAATTTAACAAGCACATTAAAACTACTGTTTCATACACTGTGTACATCTTGCCTGCTAACTTTTCATTGACCAAACAAGTCACATACCAAGCACAATAACGGTGGGAAGAGAGATGCACTTTACCCGTCTTCATAGGTACTACAAAGTTGTGGACACAGAGTGTATACATATGCTTCTATAGCAGGAAGAAAATGAAGAATCAGGAACAATATTACAAGCTACCACCTGTGACTAGAAATGACATTGCTAGACTCCTGAGGCAAAACATAGGTTATTCTTTTCATTTTAACCATTTAGAAAATAGTCCAAAATATCCTTCCTTAAATCTTTTCTGGGACAACTCAGATTGGAAGTATGTTAACTAGTTTGTGAAATTAAAAGTAAACATAAACCTTATTTATAAATTTATATTTTTTCAAGCAGCCTCTTTTTTTTTCTTTTGTACACACTTCTTTGTAGCACTGCTAATGCCATTTTTACATTTTAATTAATTTGGTGGTCTTTGAAGGATATTTCCCTCCAAGAAGACAGGTGGAGAAGTAAATTCTGATGTACATAATTACCCCTTTATAATTTAGGTCTTGACTTATTGTATTCAAAGCTAAAGCAAGGCTTTATAGTCTTTAATTCAATCAAATCCCCATTTCAAGAAATATTAAATATTATATGTTGAGTAAGACACAATATGGATATTCTAGGAAGCCAGGATGCCAGGATGTTTGTGCAGGAGCTCAGACTATAGCTCTTCCCTTTGCACCTTTGCATAACAATATTATAACAATGACAGTAATAGTAGCAGAATGGATAAATTGTTTAACCTGACTGGGTTACAGGCGTTTAACCTGGCTTACACCTGTAATCCTAGCACTGTAGGAGGCTGAGGTGGGAGGATCACTTGAACTCAAGAGTTTGAGACCAACCTGGGCAACATAGCGACACCTTTTCTCTACAAAACATCAAAAAATGTACAGCTGTGGTGGCACTGCCAAGGATTACCTGAGCCCAGTAGGTCAAGGCTGCAGTGAACCATGATTGTACCCCTGCATTCCAGCCTAGGTGACAGAGTGACATCCTGACTCAAAAAAAAAAAAAGTCAGGTGAGGTGGCTCATGCCTGTGATCTCAGCACAGAGGCTAAGGCAAGAGGATCTCCTGAGCCTAGGGGTTTGAGACCAGCCTAGGCAACTTGGCAAGACCTTGTCTCTAGGATAAATCAAAAAATTAGTCAACCATAGTGGCATGTACCTGTCATTCCAGCTACTTGGAAAGCTGAGGTGGAAGTATAGCCTGAGCCCAGCAGGTTGAGGTTGCAGTGGCTGTGAGTGTGCCACTGCACTTGAGCCTGGGCAACACAGTGAGAGTCCGTCTCACACACACACACACACACACACACACACACACACACACACACACAAGTTTAACCTTGCACAAATACACACACACACACATACACGCATATTATACTATATACATATGTGTATACAGGTATACACATATACCTGTGTGTGTGTGTGTGTGTGTGTGTGTGTGTGTGTATACCATACATATGAATACAGTTCAACAGGCTCCAGTCTGCATTGTTAAGCACTATGCCATGATTATAGAGTGCATGTATACCCAAGTTTGTTCCTGGGAAATGAGATACCAGTTTTCTTGCCCTTGTGCTTCTTTTTGATTGTAGCAATTAACACCTTGTGGTTGCCAAGGGTGTGATTTCATTGGTTCCTGCCACTGACCTACAAGTAAGTTTAGAATTATTGATTGATGCTTTCCTTTTTATCAAAAGAAAATCAACTAACATTATGGGGTTTTATAAATGACCCAGCAGGATCTTTTCTTTTGAATATCAAAGACCAGATAGACAGCAACATAAACAAAACAAAACAAAACAAAAAACAGGCCTGTGAAATGAATCCACTGGGATGCATGGATCTATGGAAATTAATACCTTAGAATGCACCATACATACATACATACATTTTTAAAACATGTACATACATTTTTTTTTTCATTAATCAGTATTTTTTATTATGGTTTTGTGGGGTACAGTTAAGAGTTAGGTGTACAATGATGTTTCATTCAGGCACCCTGTAGATAAGAAGTGTTTTCCCATCCCCTGACAGATATTTGCTACTGTTAATCCCATCCCCCTCCCCCCCATAGTTTCCCAGTACCATCCGTCATTTTCTCATAGTATTGCATTGGATGTTCAAGGTCCATTATATGAGTGAGAACATGTGATATTCGGATTTTTGTTTTTGTGAGCGGTTACTCAGTATTATAGACTCTAGTTCCATCCAGGTTGCTGTGAAATTCATGATTTTGTTCTTTTTTATGGCTGCGTAGTATTCCATCGTGTATATGTACCACATTTTTTTAATCCAGTCCTCTTTTGATGAGCACCATGGTTGTTTCCAGGTTCTTGCTATTGTGAACAATGCTGCGATAAACATACGTGTGCAGGTATCTTTTTTATAGAGTGATTTGTGTTCTTCAGGGTATATTCCCAGTAGGGGG